GCTCCCCCCACCCTTTGAATGTCCAGCTGCAGCCCCTCCTCCTCCAGGAAACCTTTCCTCCACGGAGGCCCTGGCTCTCCTGCTTGTCACAGGTGTCATCTGGTCACAGTGGTGTGTGGTGGTGTGACTGGCAGGGGACGCGGGTCCTAGCCCCACTACGGGACCAGCAGCAGCCCCCGGCAGAAGCAGTATCTTGCCCTGGGTAGGAGTCCGGGCTCAGAAAGCTCACGGACTCGGAGTTAAATCCCAGCTCTGTGACTTTCTTGCTGTGTGACCTGTGTGACCTGTGTGGCTTCGCAGGTCTGAGCCAGTCTCCTCTTCTGAAAACCCGTAATCATAGCTGCGCCTCTTGCAGCGAGGAGGCAATATGGTGCGGCAGCCCACGTGCGCGGGCACTTGGCAAACGCTCGGGGAAGGGATTGGGGAGGGCAGGAGTTGCATCATTCACTTCTTTTTACAGCTGAGAAAACAAGGGAAGGAGGCTTAGTGAGGTGAGGCCTGTTGCCCAAGGTTACACATCCTGCTAGCGGGGGGCAGGCCCAAACCAGGCTGATTGAGCCAGTGCTCAGACCACTGGGCTCTCCGGTCGACGACCTGCCCTTGTGCTGCGTTTCCCCGTCTCCTTTGGGCCCCGTGGGGCCGCGGAGACAGGTGGTAGCAAACAGCACAGCTTAGTCCGCAGGGCCGAAAGGGTTAACAGCTCCGCCGCATTGGGCCGGCCTCTGGAGGAACCAGCCAATGGGCGCGCGCCGCGATGAGGTAATGCATGGACCGTTCGGAGTGGGCGGAGCCGGCGGGGGAAGAGCCGCGCTCGCGTTCTTTCTCTCCCCAACTACCCCTCACCTTTGACCTTGATGTCCTCCCACCTTACACCCGCGGAACCCCCTGTGCGGGACCTGAGGGTCTCTTCTTAAGGTCTAACGCAGGAACTTGGAGACGTCCTGCCTTCTCTGGGCCTCAGTTTCCCGTTTTGCAAGATGGGAGACGATGATCACTAAAGGCCAGACCACCGGTGGACGTCCTTGGGTCCTAGGACAGTTTGGGTCCCTCCTTGCCCTTGGCCTACCCGTTACAGAGAGGACCCGGACCTCCTCGGGCGGTGCCCAATGGGCCCGGGGGTGGGGTGGGGTGGGGTGGGCAAGGTGTCGGGGCCTAGCAGGCTTCCTGGCCCAGGCACGGGCTCCACGTGGCCGCGACCCATTTGTCTTTCCTTTATCCCTTCAGTGTGCGCGCCTGACACTTCCCCAGATGCCCCCTCGCTGCCACCAAGCCCCGAGTTAGCTGCGTAAGCGGTGAGTTCGGTGGTCAGAGGGCAAAGTTCATCCAGCCATCAATATTGATTGAGCGGCTGACACGTGCGGCTCAGAGCGTTGGTCCTGGCAGCCGCCAGGGCTGCCGGGGCCGCGGGCCCCTCCGGGCCCAACTGCAGAGGCTGCGCATCGGTCCCGCAGTCTGGACACGAAGCGGTTTAATGCCTTTCCAGCCGAGCTGGCTCTGCCGCCGCCGCCGAGACCGGCTTATTAGTCAGCTCGAGGGGAGGGGGCGGAGGGGAGGGGAGGGGCTGGAGCTGAGAACCGCAGAAAGCTATTCTCAGGGGCTCCCAAGTGCGGGGAGGGAGGCTCAGCAGGAGCGGCTGCTTCCCAGAAAGTTGATTATTTTTAACCCAGGAAGAAGAAAGGAAGGAGGCGAGGGAGAAGGACTCAGAGAAAAGAGGAGAGGAGAGAAGGGAGGAAAGGAGAGCAGCGGAGGGCGGGTGGGGGAAGAGGAGAGGAGGGGGGAGGGGAATAAGGAGAGAGAAGGGGGAGGGAGGGGAGGATGGAGGCAGGCCACTCACAATGGAGCGGAGGGGAAGCAGAGGCAGGGCCGGCTGGAATGGAGGAAGGCAGCTGGCAGGGGTCTCTGGGAGGGGACTGGGTAGGGGGGGCACTGCCACCCTCCTCAGTCCCTCCCCGCACGTCTTGTGGGACTGTCCCACGGGACCCACCCCAGACTGCCCGCCGCCGGGCCTCCCGTGCCTGGGCACCACCAGCCCAGGGCTCTGCAAGGCACTGGGGCTTGCAGAGTCCGGGGAAAGGGGGCCCAAGGCAGCCACAGCCCTGCTGCGGGGTGCTGTCCAGCCGACCCGCAACACACAGACCTGTCCTTGCCCACTAGGGGGCCTTGGGGGAGGGCAAGGCAGGCTGTTCTGAACACCTCATGGCCGCCGCAGGGACTGGTTCCTGGAGGGGTGGGCAGGAGGGACCTAGGGCCCCCTTTCTTCTGCCTTAGGGTGGGGCCAGGCTGAAAACCAACCTGGGAGAGGGGCCTAAGGGAGGATGGGGGGGCACAGCGACAAACAAGACAGACACTGTCGTGTCCACATGGGGTTCACAGTCCTGAGGGCTGGGGGGCAGAGGCTGCACCAACCATTATGAATAATGCATTAAATAATGCTGGGTGGGCATCAGACTGGGAGGGGACGGTGCAGGGGGCCGGGAAGGCTGGTCCTGGGGACCTGATATCTGAAGGGGTTATAGGAGGGCTCCCTGGGGAGGGCGCCTGAGGACCAGGACAGCTAACTAGGGGAGAGTGACTGTCGGAGGGGCAGGGACAATGTGGATGGGTCCTACAGCACAGACCCGAGAGCCTGAGAGAGGATCAGTGTGGCCCACGAGGCTGCCGCCCTTGTCCTGGAGGCCGCTGGAAGCTTTGGAAGAGTTTATGGAGCAGAGAGAGGGGACCCCAGATGTGCAAAGCTCACTCAGGACTGTAGGGGATGGGAGTGGATGCAGGGAAGGGGTGCCAAGGTCCCAGGACAGTGAAAGCAGCCTGGCTCAGGGCTGTTGCCTCTGAGATGGAGGGGAGGCCGGCCTTGGACGTGACTTGGGAGGAACAGAGGACAGGAGTTTCCGTGTCATGGCATGGGGGGTGGGGTGACGGAGGCCGAGGAGGTATCAGGGAGGGGCCAGGCTCTGGCCTGTGCCGTGGACAGCCTGGTGCTGTGCCCTGAGGCTGAGGGCCACCAACGGGAGCAGGCGGACAGGTCAGGCATTGGCACTGGGACATGGCGGGCAGTGGAGACAGGCGGAGGGAACAGCGTGAACGAGGCACAGAGACGAGAAGGCCAAAGGGAAGCTGCCTGTGGAGTCTTCCAGAAAGAGGGGCCGATTCTGGCCCTGCTGCAGTCAGTGCTGAGCCGCAGCCCTGTGGGGACAGAGGGCTGCTTCCCGGCACTGGACGCAGGGAGGACGCAGGGAGGCTCCACAGATGGGCGGCTGGAGCCACGTGGGGTTGCCTCTCAGCAGGCAGTGCCTGTACCCCAAGGTGAGTGCACCCCAAAGCTAGAGAGGGGGTGTGTATGACTGTGGTGTGTCAGCGGCCCAGCTGAGGGGCATCCTGCAGGCGTGAGTGTGTGAGAGTGAGTGTATGTATGTCCCTCGCACCAAGCATTCTGCCCTTCACTTGAGGCTGGACTCAGGGGTCACATCGAACCTCTGCAGGACCAGAGAAGGCCGGCCAGGCCGGGCCAGAGGATGTGGTTGGATGAGGCCCACGGGCCCTGGCCAGTGCTCTGAAGACCCAGCACTACCCCGTTCACTCCCCACCTGTGGCCCTGGAAGCCAGGCCAGCATCTGACCCCTCCCCAGGGAGCCAGGGTGGGGGTGCCCGGGCACTGGCCAGAGGGCAGCGTCTGCACCGTGCCGAGGAGGCCTTGTTGCAGCACCCAGGGCCACCCAGGCCCACTTCCCTCTCGGGGCCAGTGTGTCCTCTCCAGGATGGGAGGGCTGGTCCGCTCAGCTCAGAGCTGCCCTTAAGACCAGGACCCAGTGGCCCAGCCCAGGCCTGGTTCCAGGCAGCAGCAGGGGCCACAGCCTGGCTACCTCTCTGCCCTACCTGCAGACTCTGGGATTGCGTGGGCCTGTGGCTTTCCCATCAGCCCTACCACCTGCCACTAGCCCTCCCGCCCCTAAGACGAGCACACATCAGAAAGTCATGGGTGAGGTTCAGGGACAGACCCGACCTGAGTCCATCGCTCCCTGGCTGTGAGCTCTGGCCAGTGGCTCTGGCCTCTGTGCGCCCATCTCATCGTCTGCAACATGGCCATCGTGAAGCCAGAGGGTGCTTTCCGGTGGGTCCCTCGGGGCCCTGCAGGCTCCCCAGCATGACAGTGAGGGGCGTGGGCTGCAGCCCCCCAGGGGGCCGGGAGAGCAGTGGGCTTACCACCGTCTCACCGCGGGCCAGGCGGTGCTGTTGCGCCTATTTTGCAGATGAGAAGACCAAGTCTCAGGGACATGGATTCCTGGCCAGCGCTACACGGCGGGAAGGGCAGGGAGGGGGACCGGGTTTCCGACTCCCAGGTCTGCTCTCTGCTCCGTCCCCACGGCCACCACCCTCTAAATCAAAAAACACGAGTGCAACAGGGATCCTGTCCCCCCACCCCCCGAGGGCCAGCACAGGACACCCTGCTCTCCCGTCCCCACACCCACACGTGACCCTGGCCTGATGGGGCATCTCTGCGGAGCACAAAGGGGAGTCTCCAGGCAGAGAAAGAGCCCCACGGGCCAGGAGCCGGCTCCGCGGGCGCTCTTCTCCCTGCTTTCTTCCTCTCTCAGCTCTTTGTTAAGCTCCCTTTCAGCTGAGCCGGCAGAGCCTGGGTGTTCCGAGCTGACAATAATTGCTGCGTCTAGACAGTGTCTGGTATGAGGCCTCCCTCTCGGCGCTCCGGCCTCCCCGGGCTCCCTTTCCCAGCCCCGTGGCCCTGCCCCACACCCTCGCTTTCCCACAGCCCTTCCCCTCCCGGCTGCCTGTCCCCGCTCCTGCCTCCCTCCCGCCCCAGGCCCTCGCGCCTCTCTCCCCTTCTTCCCCTTCAGACACGTACTCAGCCCTGTCTGTCCGCAAGGCCTGAGACGCAGGGGGACAAAGGTGGCTTTGCTTTTGCCTCTGGCTGGGAGGCTTTTGGGGAGACAGCCCAGCACCGCTCCCCCCCCCACACACCCCAGGAGCTGGCAGTGACGGCTCACCTCACTGGATTCTGGGCTGAGCTGGGCAGTTCTGGGATTCTGTCCGTCCAGGCCTGGGTGGGTTTCCAGAGGAATCAGCCCAGGACGAATTTAGGATAGGTACAGGGGGAGAACTTCCCGGTGACAATGGCCTAGGAGGGAGGGAGGGAGGGAGAAAACCTATGATTTGTCCCATTTTACGGATGAGGAAACTGAGGCCCCGAGAGGTTGAGTGACCTGCCCGAAGTCGGAGCCAGGGAGCGGAGGAGCCCGGATGTCAAGTCTCCGAGGCCCGCCCCACGGGCCCAGTCGGCTCCAGCGCTAGGGACAGTGGGATGCGTAGGAATGCCCGGGACTGGGGCGGGCACTGGACCTGAACTGTTTCCTTCATCCTCACAAGGCTGCTAGATGGGATGGGGATGATGCCCATTACACAGATCAACAGGGAATAATAATAGCCCAGGGCTGCTGGGTGTGGCCGGAGGGCGCCCTAGCTCGGTGTCTTGGGGCTGGGCAGGGAGCAGAAGCCCAGCAAGTGTCACTGTAACACTTCCCACTTTCCCTCCGGGCTTCCCTGAGTGTCTCCTGTGCACGCAGCCCCCCAGCCAGGTTGGCGGAGACACAGGCCAATGCGGGGCTCTGCCCCTATGAGACCACGGCCCAGGCTGGACGGGCGAGTCAGCCGGCTCCAACCTGGAGGGGGATTATGATGATGCTGGCGACCCAGGGCCTCTGGGAGTCTGGGGGAGGGGCCGCCAATCCAAGAAGCCTTCCTGTAGGAGGTGGAATCAAGACCAGGTGCTAGAGGATGGGCAAGAGTCAGCCAGGCCACGAGGGGAGGGATGGACGTTCCAGGCAGAGGGAACCACACAGAAGAAGGCCCCAAAGTCAGAGGGCAACCTCAGAGGACCCCAGAACCCTAAGCAGCTTTGACAGGCTGAACTGCACGCGGGGGTGACCGGGAGGGAGCTAGGGGAACAGTGAGGCCGGAGCCCCGCTGGCCAGGAAGGGCCTCGGGTGCCAGGTCAGCTGGGAGCTGGGACCTCCCCCACGGCAGGGAGGCCAGGAGGGCCAGCGGCGGGGCCGGGGCACGCGGGGCTGTGATGACCGGGAGGATGCGGCACCGGCCGGCTGCGTGGACCCGAGGGGCCCCAGGCCGGTGTAGAAAGATGGCCTCCCGTGGAGTCAGCCCACAGGTCTGTCTGCAGTGCCGCGCACAGGAGCCAGCGCGGATGAAGGCTTGGGGGTGAGGGCCCAGGTGTGCTCCTGGAGGGAGGGGCAGGCCAGGTACCCAACGGCCTTCGGAAGCAAGGGATGGGGAGCCAGGAAGTTTGGAGGCTCAAGTAGGAGGATTAATTAGGGAGAATAATCGGGAACCTTTGCAGGAGGGATTAGAAGGGACACCTGGAGGCAGGGAGGCTGGGAGGAGGCCTTCCCTGGGAGGGGGCCACTGCCCATTGGCCCTTCCTCCCTCCCTCCCTCCCTCCCTTCCTCCCTTTTTCCTCCCTCCCTCCCTTCCTCCCGCCCTTCCTCCCTCCCTCCCTTCCTCCCTCCGTTCCTCCCTCCCTCCCTCCCTTCCTTCCTTCCTTCCTCCCTCCCTTCCTCCCTCCCTTCCTTCCCGGTGGTTGGTCCTCTTCTATGGCCACTCCTCCCCCTGCAGAGCCATTTTGATTCTGCATCTACTTGCTGCCCATGGGCTGCCTGGAACCTTCCACGCCCAGCTGGACGGGGAAGGAGGACAGCCGCCATTCATTCCCCCTCTAGACCTTTGATGCCAGTGTCAGACAGGGCGAGTCCCCTGGGCCCGAACACCTCTTCGGGCCGCTAGGCACTGACACGGGTGGGTCTGTGGGTGAGCCCTGTGCCTGCCACCTTGACCTGCCTCAGAGCCGTGCAACCACAGGCCCAGGCTGTGGCTTCCATGGCCTTGACTCGACTCGCAGTGGCCAGCCCGGGCCTATTCGGGAGCCGCAGGCGGGCAGAGGCCGCGCCGCCTGTCTGTAGGCTGTGGAGTGCCCTGCTGCCGGTCCGATGCTGGGCGTTCACGGGCTGGACAGGAGAGACACAAAAGGGGGTCCGGGACACAAGGCAGGTGGGCGTGGTCCGCAGCAGGAATGGCGAAGACCTGGGTCACACAGGGGGTCCCCAGCCCTGACCCCAAATCCCTGGGCAGACGGTTCTAGAACTCAGAACTTGTCTAGCTGCAGAAAGACATACACCACGTATTTCCTAGCACCCCAGCAACGTGCGGGGCAGCCCCTGGAATCCAGCGTATGAATACGTCTGCAGCCAAGTGTATGCGCGGGCAAAGGTCGTCAGAAGTGTCGGACTCGGTTTCTCTTCTCCCGCACGAGGCAGCTCACGGGGTTGCCCTGAGAACCGGGCACCTCCCAGGCAGGGCCTCACACACGGGCGCATGTCCTGCCCCGAGCCCTGGCCCTTGCTGCTGCCTTCTAGAATATTCCTTCCCTAGACATCTCACGGGGGGGCCACTTTTCCACTTCCTCCGGGGCACCGTGGTTCTGCTGAAGTGCCACCTCCTTGGGGAGGCCTGGGCCTGTTGTCTCGTCTCCTCCCACCCCACCTCCTTCTCCCTTCGCAGCCGCCACCACCTGACGCACATGCCGTCAGTTACTCATCCGTTGCCCGCCTGCTGCGCCCCAGGAGAACCTGAGCTCCGTGAGGGCAGGGCACTGCGCTGTCGCCTCCCGGGCCTTCAGCACCTGGGACAGTGCCTGCCCAGGTGGGCACCTGGATTTTTGCTGAAGGAATGACTGTCTATTAAATGTGCCCATCGACAAGGCACAATAAAGCCATCACCATGGTACCAGCTGGGTACCAAGTTGTTGACACTGCTGCTTCATCATCATCATCATCCTCATCATCATCATCATGTTCCTGAGCTGACCAGACCTTGGTTCTCCAACCTGTGAAATGGGCATTCGGGGCACTGAGAAATCGGCCACCAGAAGCCCGCCAGGTCCCTGGAAGAGAGACAAAGAACGCTGCCGGGCCCGCCGGGGGAGCACGCGGCCCTCGCTGCAGAGCGAGGCCCGGGAGGAGCTCGGAGAACGCCAGCCCCAGCGAGCGGGGCTGCCAGAAGGCCATACATAATTCATCGCCAAACGGGGCCTCGGGCGGCGTGCGCTGGGGGCTCGCTCTGCGCCTGGCGCTGCACTGACTGCTCCTCACACGTTGCCTCTTCACGGATTTGCAGGGTGCGATCCTTCCCGCCCCCCCCGTTTCCCCGGGGGAGGGGGGTGTCCTGAGGTGCAGAGGGTGGTCCACCTTGCTTCTCAGTGGCCAGCAGGGCCTCAAGGCCACAGGTTTGGACCCAGCAGGCCCTCAGTCACCTTCTCCCAATGGAGGGAAGGGACAGCCCTGGGGAGGGGCTGGGAGGGAAGGAGGGAACCCCCTCACCACACGGGGCAGGCAGAGGACAGGCTGGGTCACCGCAGGGCTGAGGAAGGTCGAGGGGCCACTGCATCCTGGCCCCGGCCCACCTCCCCTTCTGAGCCCCCTTCCCTGGAGAAAATGCTCCCCGCTGTGGGAGGGAGCTGGGGCCCCCAAGGGGGACCCTCGACGGTGCTGGCTCTGGACTTTCAGGGACTCAGTTTGCTCAGCTGGGAAATGGGACTAACCGGCACCCCCGTCCCCTGCCTGGCGCTGGGAGCCGTGCAGACTCGGTGCTGGCTCAGAAAGGGGTGCCGGCCAAGGGGAAAAGCCCAGCCCGAAAAGTTACACAGGTGCCGATTCAGTTTAGATAACATTTTTGAAATCACCAACTTTTAGCAGCAGCAGAGGACAGATTAGGGACGCCTGGACCGGGGCGACATGGTGATGTGGCCACAAAAGAACAAGAGGAGGGAGGCTTGTGGTGACAGAACGTTCTGGATGCAGGCTGTGGTGGAGGAAATGCAAACCTGCGATAAAATCGTGCAGCACTAAGTACACACGCACACACACACACAGGAGAGTCTGAGTGAGACGGGGAAAGCTGCAGAAGATTGCCCAGGGCGGGGGCGGAGGGGGTGTCGGTGCCCATCCCCCACTGTGATGGCTCCCTGCAGACCCACCAGACATTTCCACGGGCGGGGGGCAGGGTGGTGGGGGGACTGGGGACAGGGTACCTGGGGTCGCTCTGTCTTATTTCTCACAACATTATGTCAATCTGCAATTCCCTCAATAAAAACGGGGATTAAAAACGTCCCCCTCCTCTGCCCGGGAAGGGTTCAGGGAGCCCCTGCAGCCGCCAGCCCAGGCCCAGGCCCAGGGAACTTCCTCAGCTGGGAACTGTCCTTCCCGCCTCGCTCCGAGCATCCCCAGTCTTTCTTCCAGAATGTTCCTGTCCTCTCCCAGATTCCCATAAACAGGAACTCCGTACCATTCCGTGGGGCTCTGGGGCAGCCGGAGAGCAAGGCAGGCCTTTGTCATCAGGCTCTGGCCGCACGGGGCTGGGACACCCAACCGCACTCGGAGGGTCTCCCTCCAGCCCGAACCCCTTGCCGCCTCGCGTCTCCTGCCTCCGAGAGACTTCAGGGCAGGGTGAAGGGTGACAGGTGTCACTGACGTGGGGCCGGGACCAGCAGGCGACTGGCTCACCACGGGACTCTGCCTCACCATGGGGCTGGGGACAATCCCTGTCCTGTCCTCCCTCCCTCCCTCCCTCCCTCCCTCTCTACCTCTCTCCCTCCTTCCCTCCCTCCCTCCCTCCCTTTCTCCCTCCCTCCCTCCCTCCCTCCCTCCCTCCCTTCCTCCCTCCTTCCCTTCCTCCCTCCCTCCCTTCCTTCCTTGATTGGAATCACATTTCATAGAGAACCAAAAAAGAAGGAAATTTTCTTTTATACAAATTTTAAACAAATGTTAAAGGCATACTTCTATTTTGATCTAGTTTCATGATAAAATAATGTCACAGCGACACCCTCCCTCTCTCCCCCCTTCTTCTGAAGGTCCGTTTCTTTTCTCGGGCCCACCCAGGGCGGCCTTGTGGCCTTGGGGCGGTGTCGTCGGAACGCGTCAGTGCCGTCCTTTGCTCCGAGGTCCCTTGACGAGGGTCAGGCCCTCTCGCAGCAGGATGAGATGCTTTAGGTGTTTCAGACTTTGCGCTCACTCGAGAAAGTAGCCTATAGTGCCCTTTTCAACACGTGGGCAC